GTATTGTACGTGATGTATGGTATAAGAATTATAATAATAATACCAGTAATAATAATTGTGATAATAATGATAATAATAGGAATAATAATAATAATGATAATTAAAGCATGGTAGCAGAGAGGCAATTTGTCTGCGCATGTTCAGTAAATTTTTCTTTGAAGCGTATAACCGCTGCTAAGCGCCGATTGAGGTTTCCCGCGAAAGAAGTGAAGGAAGAAAATTCGTCAGAAAATTTTAGAGAAATAAGACTGAAGTTAAAAGGAGACTTTGATACTGCACATTAAGTGGTACTGGGCACCAACCTGACTGCTACTTAAAGAAATTTATAGACATTTGCCAGGGGAGTTTGGCTGTGTCAATTTTACAGGAGACAAAAAATGTATGAATCACTCAAGAAATTCATTAGCTCTCATCCTGGAAGCTTAAATACTCTTAAGGAATATAACTGATCACTCCTCACCGCCGCCTGGTTAGCTCAATTGGGAGAGCGCCGGACTGCTGTGCGGGAGGTCGAGAGTTCAATACCGGCCGGACCAACACTCGGGGTCTTAAAATTAATTGAGAAGTATATGCTTCCTTTCTTTAACATCAAGAAATGGTTAGATATTCTAGTCTTCTCGGATAGAGACGAATAAATGGCGGTCCCGTCTCCTGCAGGGTTGGGGTAGGAGACGTTAATTTCCCATGCGCGAGATTACTGTGTGATGGATGTCCTCCCTGGGGTGGGTTGGGTGGGTAGGCGAAATCGCTACGGACTAAACACGGCTGCCAGAGGCGCCTGTCTGATTTCAACCTTAAAATTGTAACTAAACACGTATGTTGTTTAGAGAAATAGAGACCTTTACCTTTTACCTTTACCACATTCATTTTCCATGAAATGTGGACAAAACTTCTGAAAACTTTAATGGTAATTTTACCATTACAAATAGAGTAGACATAACTCCCAAATAGCATATTAGTCTAGGAAAGTTGTGTACAGAGAACAAAGACTGATAATTTAAACAAGAAGTAAGCTTCTGGGAATAATGACAAACTCTTGAATAACAGCTAGCCACAGTAAATGTCACATCCATTCTGTCTTTAGTACCAATTATTGGATCACTTCACATTTCCTAAACAGAAGAGAACATAACAGTTAATTCCCATCATCAGTCTCAAGAAATTAGAACTTCAAGATCATGACACATACAGCAAGGTGAAATATAATTAAACTGGTTTGAAATTCACAGTGCACTTCGACTCAAAATTTATTTTGCAAGGGAAAGCATTCAATTGAAATGAACAGGACAGAATACAGCTGCGTCATTCGTCTCGAATAACACATGAACATGAAGGAAACGGCACCAGTTTTACTCATGAGACAAAGCCCATGCATTTTTTTGAGGTAAATAGACTAGTTAGACCAAAAGCTAGATAAATAAACAATTAACTGACAATAGTGAGGGATTTGGGGCCAATTGATAAATGAGTTTTACCGAAGTTTTTCCTCTAGTTGGCACATGAAGCTCGAAAAGGCAATAATAAAAATTACCAACAAACCACAATAAAAAATGACCCAAAACCGTAGTTGATTGAGGTAAGACCATAACCGTTGTTAAGACACATGCCTATCTACCATATACAACAGACGTGGAGAGCAAAATGGCCAAAGACGGTTTTGAGTCATGACTTGGAAAATCCACCAAAACCTCCCGAAAAATAATTCGCCGAGGGTTGTAGTAAGAGCAACTTAATCCTGAAGCTGGAACATTTTTTAAAGCCTTGTGTGCTATATTACTGTAAAGATAATATTTTAAATGAAAGAAGAAGTCGAGGCGATCTCTACAACCTGGAAATAGTTAATAGAGCGAACTATGACCTGGAGGAGGTACAACTTGGGAGATCGTGAATTTTACTTGGGGTTTTTACATGCAGGCTACCGAGCTGCAAAATTAAACGCTGGATATAGATAAGTAAGCTTTTCGCTGCTTGATTACACTGTCTATTTAATTCAGAGAGAACAAGCGAGATTTATTTTTCGCTTTTCACTACACATTAGTGTGGACGGCTGGGCCTGAATTACTGAGTGCGGAATTAAGATGTACGCGTTTCGAACGAAAGGCCGTTTTAACGTATTCTACTAAAAATAAGTAGCCTGTTTTCAATTTTCGGGAAACTTTAAACGCAATTTTTAAGATCAGTATTTCCAATCGCGGCTCTTGTGCGTGACTTCCGGTAATATTATCTAAACGACAACAATTCAGGACCAGCTCAGTTCATCTCCTTTCGCGTGGATGGGCTTTTGTATCTTTCAATACTATGTTTTGGATGTTGGTTATGTTGTGATTTTTCCAGTTAGACCTATTATGGAGGTCGGTTCTCACCTTGTCCTATGTAATTTGTTGTGGTCCACTTTCATCACTCGGGCACGAAAAGATAATGAAAGAATCAACCAAAACCACAAGAACAGGTAAGACATAACATTTATTTAAACTTTGCATTGACAAACTTTACAGCCTGACGATAGCCTTGATATTATATTCCGCCCACCCATAAACTTTCAACGCGAAACTAAACATTCAACCTCTGGAAAATGACTTAAATTTCTCGTTTTGCAAAGCCAAAACGCGCCGAATTTACCCTGTTTCAAAAAAGACAGGAAAAAAATCCAATTTTTGAAAATAAAGACCACAAGTCTCTGCGGGGTTCTATTGTTATCGCTCAGTTGTTTTCATTGAACAAAGACCGAATGTATGATTAATGTATGGGGTTATATGGTACTCTTGCCTTTTTTTCTCGCGAGTGACTTCAGCATTTTTCATTAAAAAACGGGAAAAACTTCCGCAAAAAAGTTAAACTAGGCATGGAAACAAGCGAACAAGCCGATGAAGATCTGCCTACTTTTTCTTTGGGAATGGAATTACTAACTCCCGAGAAAGAACCCAGAGAGAGGGGTAACAAAACAATCAACGTCGGTTTCATCTCGTTTCACAACTCTAACTTCGTTTCCACGCAGTTTTTGTTCCAATTGCAATCTGAGACAAGGTCATTGAAGCATAGCGAAATACTTCCCGAAAAAAAATTAAATAAGCAACGCATTGAAGCGTAGGAGAGGGAATATCTGCCCTTTACACAAAAACTACAGCGTTGAAAATGTTATAAAACAATTGGTTCATACGTCAGCTGTGCGTTCATCGAGATACGAAGCACTTGGGAAGCTAGAGTTGCTCTCGGCTACACCTCAAGCAACTCTTACGCATCTTTCGTGCTCTCCAAACTTCCCGCGTGCTTCATATCTCGATGAACGCACGCTGACGTATGAACCAATTGTTAAGTGAAAAGCGAAACGGAAAGCTCACTTTTTCTTTCTAAATTAAATAGACANTTTTTGTGGATGTTGGATGGCAACTTATTCCAGCGCTAGATGTTCTTTCTAAAGATGTGACATTCTCATTTTGGTGTAAGTTCAACCATCCTGTAACATTTTTGGTGTAAAAAATTATTTGCCTTAAGGAGTGAGAACCGTTCAGTGAACCCTAAAGGGATACCACTTGTAATGTAATTCATAAAATGTTTAGGCAAAATCAATTAACAATTGGTTCATACGTCAGCGTGCATTCATCGCGAGATATGAAGCACTTGGGAAGTTTGGAGAGCCCTGAAGAAGCTAGAGTTGCTCTCGGCTACACCTCAAGCAACTCTTACGCATCTTTCGTGCTCTCCAAACTTCCCGCGTGCTTCATATCTCGATGAACGCACGCTGACGTATGAACCAATTGTTAAGTGAAAAGCGAAACGGAAAGCTCACTTTTTCTTTCTAAATTAAATAGACAGTATAAATTTAGCAGCGAAAAGCTTACTTATCTAAATCCAGCGTTTAATTTTGCAGCTCGGTAGCCTTCATGTAAACACCCCAAGTAAAATTCACGATCTCCCAAGTTGTAGCTCCTCCTGGTCATAGTTCGCTCTATTAACTGTGTCCAAGTTGTAAAGATCACCTTGACGTCTTCTTTCTTTTAAATTATTCCGTACCCAAACGTTTTTCGATGGGTCTTAGTTTTCGAGGGGTCTTAGGTCTTAGGTCTTAGGTCTTAGGTCTTAGTTCTTGGGTCTTAGTTTTCGCGACACCTCTACAAATGGCGCCGAACGCGACAAACTAATTCCACTCGCGCATGCGCAGACAAAGCGCCCCTCTGCTAAGCATGGTAAATTTATATTTACACACACCTGTAAACTTTGGGGGAGAGGTCTCTCAGCATTCTCATTTCAATGAATCAATACTGGTGAAGCAATAGTCAACTAAGAGAAACAATGAAAACGGTCGGCATCTTTCTTAACTTGCCATTTTGAATCAACTGAGATTTCATGGTATGATAATTTGTTTATTGGTTTATCGATCAATACACAATTGATTAACCCGAAGCTTACATCTTGAAACAAAAGATTAAACGATCATTTATCCCTAGAACCACGATGAACAACAACATTTTTCTCAGCATAGGTTTATTTTTGATTCTCGATAACAAGGCTACCTCGTTACTATTTGTTAAAAACAAAGGGCTATATTGTGGTTAACGAACACATTGTTATTGCTCCCATAAACAGACAATCCAACAGGGCTATTCCACTCGTATGAATTATTGATTCCAAATATTCGATCTGAAGAAAGAAATACATAATTGTATTGAGAAAGCTGACAGGCTATCGTGATGAAATTTTGTGGGCCGAGACGTTATGTCTAGCAAACTGACTCAATGACAGGCTATCAATGTAGAAGAAACACGATCTAAAAAAACCGAATTACAGCACTTAAAACGTATTTCTCTGACGAAATCCAGTTAGATTGTTCCACAAGTCAGCAATGCAAAACAAACAGGTTGCAGAAGATCAGAAAACGAGTCAGCGAAAGCGCAAAAAAAAAATGAGTGTTCTCCGAGAGACTTACTATGAATCTATGTTATTGCAGCTCAAAACCGGCCCTTTTTACGTGACCCAATATCTAACTAATCAATCAAAGGAAATCAAGTTTATAGTTTATTGTTTTAACGAAACAATCATTACTGGCGAAGTTGTTTTGTCTTTGGAGTTGAACAACTTTGAACAACCATAAAGCCGCATTCATGATGGCAGCTTTATTCCGTGGCAAAATCCCTTTTCAAGAAGAAATGAGTGGTTCGCCATATGCATCAGCACAAGAAGCTTGTTAGCAAAACCTTACACGAACAACTTTACGGGGTAACAAATGCTTAGAAACCTTTTTAAATTTCCAAAGTTAGTATTTTATAGATTAATCTAAGCTCATCACATTTTCTCTCTGATTAATCACCTAAAAAGTCAGTTTTTGAACAAGGAATCTTCTTAAGACGAAAAAAAGTCATACTTTTCTAATGTACCCGGCCAAGTATTCTTGGCATGGGAAACCTTACCAAGGAACTCTCACCAGTTCAAGTGTAGCACAAGTTGATCTAACCGTCTCTTAAAGAGCTTATTTCCTTCAAAGTCATTTGTTCATAGGACGCTTACATCGGCATCGCAGGAGGCCAATGAAACCTCTTCGAAATTCGTCATTCATTCCAGCATAGAGAATCGGATTTACTGAGCTATTCACATACACCATGGAGCTTCCTAGCCCTAGAAGTACTCTAATATAGGGTGAGTTCTGCCCAGAACCAAACTCGATCCACAGCCACACCACTTGATTTGGGAGCATGCAAATCACATATAGGAGAACCACTGTCACCAGCATCTTGACTATTTTTGTGTTCCGTTCAAGCCGCTGAATAGCACTACTTTGACCAGTTCTGGGACTTTTGGGAGACAAGACAAGTTGGTTTAGCCTGATCGTAAATTTCTTGTTGGGCAGCGGTGATCCAGAAAGCGAGTTCACATCGCTGACGTCAACAGACAGAAAGCTGCTTGATGGACCTGCTCGAGTAATTTCTGGGGTGGCGATGTCTCGGTCTTTCTTCCTCTCCGCAAAACGTGCAGCTTGATCCCGTAGCTTTAATACTACCTTGGTGTAAGCAAAGGCGATGATGAAGATAGGAACAACAAACTGAATGACGAACAACCCCAAAGTATAAGCATGCCTCGCTGCATCACCTGGCCACACTTCTCCACAGTAGTTATCCTTGATTGACAGAACCAGTAGATAGGGTATGACAAGCACATAGGAAACAGACCACGTGGTAGCTATAATAATGGCTGTTTGTAATGAAGTAAAACGAGGTTTCCACGGATGAACAACGGCTCGGAACCTATTGAGAAATGGAAATTGCTAAGATACAGCATGATATTCACGCTGGCTCAACAAACTCTATGGATGCATCCGATCCAATTTAGCATGTTTTGATACCAGTAACATCATAAGCTATTAAGAACCAGCTGAGAGTACAAGAAAAGTTTTATCCTTATCAATAGACATTATAATGTTTCCTTCGAGCCTGGAAATCATTTGACTCTATATACAAATGAACATCCAGAAAGAAAAGTAAATCATCTACTTTTAATGCCGACGTGATCGAAAAAGACGTCATACACTTTGTAATTGAATTCAATTACAAAGAGGAATGAAACCTTCGGACCCTTTTCCACACAAAATCTGTTTATTAAAGGAATTTGTTGTTTGCTTTCTCGTTCAACCAGAGAACTCGATCGGACCGTAAAAGTGATATAACTCAATTAAATGTTAATTTTTCTAGTGTCGATATGTGTATATTACCTGTCGTAACTGATGGCGACGAGGGTAGCCGAGGAGCACGTGGTCACTGACGTCATGGTAGGCCATAGTATCTTGCACATTACCGGTCCCAGGGGCCAGCGAGGGTAGGTCAACTTCAAAACTACTTCAAAGGGAATGCAAAGCATTGCGACTGTCAGGTCAGCCACGGCAAGGTTTACCAGTAGAAAGTTACGTGTGGTGCGCATGCGCGGAGTTCGTACAATGACGAGACAGACCAGAGTGTTCCCAATTACGCTGAACACAAAGATTGTTGCGAACATCGTGTACTGCACAGCATTTAGCCATTTAAGCTGAGTTTCTTGCGCCTCATTTGTGAAGCTGTCATTTATCGAAGAGTTAACTACCATTTTGATAAGTCGATCATCGGATGCTGAGTACGATGTCGATTTTTCTTATTGGCAGAATCTTGAGAAGTAAAATCGAGAGATTAAACACTCATTTTAAAGACGAATTAGTTTCAATCTGATGCATGCATTTTTTCGTCTGTATATCCTCTAGATCTCGTTCAATCTCGGAGATCCTAACGTGATGTAGAAATAACCCCCCCTCTATTGTAAATTCGCTCGCAGGCAATGGATATATTATGCGGGGTCTATTCGCTACAGTTTGTGTGCAGCATACAAATTCAAGCAAATGTGAGATACATTTGGGACTGTTCCCAAGAGTTCAGGTGCCATCAGTTAAAAACAACTTGAGAGAGATTATTTACGGAAAGAAGCACACGTATGTATTTAATCTCCAAGCTATCCTACCTTGTCGTTTAAGATTCAGAATTTTAAAAACTCTCATAAAAGATAATGTGTAAAACGGAGAACAACACTTACTCGAAAAAGGAACTCTAGAACCCGCTCAAACCAGACTCCATAGAGAAGAACAAAAACAACAAGGCATAAGCCACAAAATGAGTTGTATGCGTGTCGGCGTACTGAAGAAATTTGGTCAGTATTTTACCCATGCGATTGTGAATTGTGACAAAATTCGTTGAAATATTTGTATTTATTCATTTACTTATTTCAATTAATCTTATTTATTATCTGTCGGAACCAATCTGAATGGATAATGAGAAACCAAAGCGAAATATAAAACAACATCTGGCGCCAAAAGAATAGGAAGTATACCCGCTGTCAAATTAGATTAATGATTTTTTTTTCTCATCGGGTAAAGGGTTTAAGAACAGGTAGCGGCTATAAACATCGACCAACGGCAAGGCGAGAGTAGAACCAAAGTCAGGCTCAAGTGTTACTCCTCACACCTTCCAGTCGGCATTAAACATTTCATGAATGAATAATCAGTACGAAATCTATTAAAGCATGCTTTTAGCTTTGGTAGAACTTCTGTATGCAAAATATCGCAGTATTTTTACAAGGCACAACCATACTTAAGGGCAAGAATTGTGCGAGTCACTGCCTGGCCTCCTTCCATCTCTCACAACATTTGAGTTTACAGCTTTAATGATAATGCATCCTTAAAGGCATGAACCAGTTGTTAATGGCGGAAACCATTATCGAGTACTTACAACTCAAATTAATTCATATCTGTTGAAGTAGTCTTAATCCTCGCTTTCACTTTCTGCACAAGTAGAATTACCCTTTTCTAAAATCGGTAAGCCGACGCTATGTTCATTTTTAGGATGAGTTGCAGTTACTGTGGTCACCATTATAGAAGGTTCAAAATGAACACTTCTTCCCTGCTGTGTCTACTGATTGTTTTGTAAGAGTGCTCAGTCGGATTTCGGAAAATGTGGATTAAACGGCTAGTTTTATCTTTTAATTATATTAAATGTTCTCACTGAACCTAAAAATTTGCATTTTACAATTTAGAATGGAAGTAAGAAAATTTTTCTGTCGTTTTGCCGTAATTTAGTTGGGTCAGTATTAAGAAAGGGAAAAAATCATGTTAGGATCGCAGTTCATCACGTTTGGTTGTCAGTGATTTTTTACTCTTTTAACCACGGCAGAATCTTAGGTTACAGCTGAAAAAAAAAAAAATACTGAGACTTTGGCTTTTAACGTTTCGTGATTAAAAGACGAAAACAGAAGTTCCACCTATTCATTAAATTCATCAAACGAATCTGGTTGACGTCAAGGGTAATATTTATGGCCTGTTATAAACACTATTCCACGAAGCAAAGTGAGTACGTTTTGTCTAATTAACAAGGCGTTTTGTCATAAAGCAAACCATACGCTTACCAAATAGCTAGCCCCCTGGGTTTCCGTAAAACGCCCCCGGTCTACGCCAATACAAAATGCACCAATTTATGTCAGTTGAAGGACCTCGAACCTTGTTAATTTTAATATGCTCCCGTTACCAAGACTACAGGCCTTATGCGTCTATGGACCCATCCATCATCTGAAAGTGTTATCGACACACGGAAGATAAACCAATGCCGTATCATCGAGTCTCCTGCCATTTACCCGTCACAGAAGAAAAAAAGCAGTGGGTAAAACGTCGACCCTCGGCACATTGAAATTGTAGAACACTTGAAAAAAATATATTTCCCTGTTTTTTTCGGATGTAATTTCCTTCTTGTTGAACTGAAAGGCTACTTAGGATGACTCAAGTGGCAAAGGCATCTACAAGCCTAAGACATCAAGTAAGTGTCTCAGTCTGTTCTAAATTTAAGACATATATTTTGATTTTGAAAGACCATTTGAAACCCATGCCCACATGTCTTCTTTAAACTCTATCGTGGAAATAAATTTGAGTCACCATGACTAAGTTAGAATAAAAAATCGTCAAATATCACGATAAAACTTTGATGGAAAATTTTCGTAGTGGGGTTAAAAATCCCGGCATTGGCTCTGCGCGGAAATAACATTATTACAAACCGGCGTACAACGGTATTAGTCATTCGCCTTTCTAACTTATCTGTTTTCTAACTAATCTGTCTAGCGTTTGAGTTTCCTCGTACCTCTCTTTTAGTTGCTTTTGGGTCTGGTCCCTGCATAGATGATTTGTTGAACCGCATTGTGTTTCGCATTTTTTCTTTTTCCTTGTACATGTAAATTTAAGGTTGCATTTAAAGTTTAACTGTGAAGCAGTAGTAAATCACGTCTTAAAAAAAATTCCGCGGTCATTTTGCCACTGTGTCTCCTATTCAAATTTTCCGACAATTCCATTTCAGTGACACTTCATTTTTTGAAGACCATTTCAGCCGTTGAATTGGTTTTTTTCCTTTAGTTTGATTGGTTTTGTGGCTAAATAGCACCTGAAATTAATTGCCTACAAACTGTGTTAATTTAAATGGTGTTAAATTCAATGTCTCGAACACGCTTTGGCGTCCATCACATTAGAATATACTTTTTCCGCATCTAGGTAGCTTAATCTAAACAAGAAGAGATCTTGGTGAATTTGGAACTGCTACGTGGATTTTAGAACTGCTGCGGTGAAGAAGAAAGTTTCAGCTCTTGAGGACATTTTCATTCCTGTGGCAAGACAGCGTCATGATGTGGCGGTTTAGTTTGACAAAACAATTTTAATAAATAAAGTTCACGAAGTTGATTTTCACATTGAGAATGTCTCAGAAAAAAACAAACTTATGCAAATTTGACGCAAAAAACACAGCAGCCAGACGGCCGTCTAAAGTTTGCTTTGACATATTTACAGTCCGTAGCATATACTTTGGGGGAGGTTTTCATTTTTCAATAAGGAATTTTTTTGTATTAGGTAAATGCATAAATTACCCTGAAAAGTATTAAGGAAACAACTTAGATTTTAACCCTTTAAGTTGAAAAGATAGTAGGACAGAGCCTTTAGAACACACCAATTGATACTCTTAATATTTTGAACGGCTGAGTTCTGGTGGATTATTCTGTATCGTGATGAAAGAGGTGAACAACAACGTATCGAATATCATACTGATGATTAGCGCTCGGTCAACGTTTAATGAGAAAATCTTTTTAAAAAAAACTGTTTTTGTTACTTCCGAAGGAAACGCCCGAGGTATAAATTCGGCTTCGCTTTTTTTTTTCTCTATTTTATTTTTTGCCTTCAGTCACAAAACGCAGTTCCACTACAGCGCATGCGTGAAGTCTAAGCGCATGCGTAGAATGAGCCCTAGAGCGCATGGTTTAAAGCAATGGCTGCCTTCTTGGACAATTCCTTGCTTGACGTACGCGAAAGAAATTCGATGGCTATTACGTTCAATATACATACAAAGTCACACACCGTTCGCGGTAGACCCACACTAAGACTTGTGGAGCGTTTTGGGAACGGGTCGGTCCGCGAACTTTACAAGAGATCAATTTACGAGTGATCCTTCTATCGAGAAATATCAAGCGAAACTTGCTACTCAAACGAGTTATCTCATATTATGTTTACATGTAAACACAACCGTGTATTTAGACGTGATCGAGAACCCAGTAGAAATACCAGAAGCAATTCTGAAACGTCTCAGAAGAAAGGGTAGAAAACTGAAGGAATTTGTTTCATGAGGAGCGTATTCGTCCATGGCCAAGCATACCAAAGTCCACTTGGCTACGTCATGGGAAGGTTAGAAGAGTTACAAAGAATGTTTGTAAGCTTAATAATATACGAAGAGGGTAAGATTAAATAAAGTTACACAATATGAGAAGAATACATACATACATATACTTTATTTCGACTACAATTTTCAGAGTAGCTCTGTTGAACTAATATCTTCGAGAAGATATTAGTTGAATTATTTGAAAAAGAAGTATTTGTTGAATTGATCTGTGAGAGTATATCAAAGGATAATTAAATTGAAGTATAGAGCAAGTCGGTATTTATCAATGTTTTCTTAGAAAGCCCGAGTTCACGCAGCTATGAGTCTAGTTATTTTATATTTGAGTTTAGAAAGCTTAAGCTATTCAAATCTTTATGAAAATTTCCGAACCAAACTACACGATTTTATTTGCGTAACCTGCGATAGCAGCAAATATTAAATACACCGTGACCAGTGACTCAAGACGTCGCTTATGGTACTTGCACAATCAAACTTGAGAGCGGTGAGGAGTTTGTCATGCCCAAAGTGGTACGCACAGTAGCCAAGTGCACCATTATTAATCAACACATGGACCATTGCGAAGAACCTGAATTTCAATCGATAAGTAAATCCACCATAAAGAGGGTACTAGAAGTTCAAGAGGCCACACAGTGGAAATCATTGCGGGGTCTAGACTATACTGCAGACGAGCTAGAACGCGTGGGAACAAGAAAGGACTTACGTAAAGAAGCTCGGAAAAGGCTTCTCTCAATAACAGACGAACTAGAACGCGTTGGAGCAGAAAAGGATTGATATAAAGAGGTTCGGAAGAGGCTTCAGGAAAGCAAATTGTATTGGAAGACTACATACCGTAATCATTACAGAGAGGATGATAGCAAATGTACCGATCGGTTGTAGGGTCTTTGCATTGAGCGATGCTGGTGACACTCAGTGACTTTCAGAAAATATGCGATAACAGTCACAGCGTATAATTCGGCTGTCACGCTAGCAAAATCACCAAAAGTTTGAAGTCGCTACGGTGAAGGAAATTAATGAGTGCAAGATGCTTTTATATTTCTATGCCTTTGAACATGTATTCAGCCGTTGATGGTGGAAAAACCTACCATCGAAAATGAAATTAGGAACTTGAAAAGCGAATAGAGCTTTTTTCCCCGCAGCTTTCTGGTTGTAACGACGTGTTGGAGATTAAAACACAGGAGTTCGAAAATTATGACTCTCACAGAAAGAACTATGCCCAGCTTATCCCTTGCGCGACTTTTGTCATAATCGTGACAAAAATCCTGATTTATAAGCAGAGATACAAGCTGCCATTTTAAAAAGAAAATTAAAATTAAAGACGACTTCGCCTTCCTTGTGATGAGCGCAAATCAATGAGATATGTCCTAAGACAAATAGGAGATAGGCAGTTAATATAATGTGGCGGAGTTTTTCGTCACAAGCCCTGCCATTTTTATTCGAATTTCTTGCCGATGAGGACAAACTGTGAACCAGACTCACCTCATGGTACATACCATACATTGATGGAGCGATGAATCTTACTCAAATCAGCTCATGACTTAAAAGAACAAAGTCAATCCTTACTTACATGTTGGTGCGTTTAAACTAACATTTCCACAACCTTCGTTTCTGTTGCATTGAAATAAAGAAGTGCACCTACTGGACTTACATTAACCAAACATAACTAATGTAAATATAGGCTTGTACTTCACAGTAGCAACTGCATGAATGAAGTGTAAAAAAAAAAAGAATATAAAGCACTCAAAAAGATGAAGAGGCAACTGCATACGAAGGCTGGAAAAATGGAAATTAATGTAACTTATTCAAGATGGCTGTTTCTCACTTGAGGACGTTTGATGCATCATGTAAATACATAATTTGTCTCTTCTGTGCAGAAGTTTTGTTCTTGTCGTTACTTTTTTAATATGATGAAAACAAAACTTCCGTCGTTGCTCGATGGGTGGTCAAGGCTGAAATCGTTTGGTTTATCGAGTTCTTTTCCTGAGACAAAATAATTAACTTTTTACAGATTAGTCGCACTTTGAGGCGAAGAAATTTAATCCAATGATTTAGCAACTAATTATCACCTTCTTTGATCTTCTTTTCTTCCAACTTTTTTTACGATAAATTGTTTTGCATTGGTTTGAAAAAGAATTAACTAAATGAAACTCGTTCATAATATCCTATTCTACCAAAAGTTTATGTTATGTGTCACTTATCCTACGATGAAGCAATAATACCTAACTAATTAAAAACGGAACACGGTTTATTTGGTAAAAAAAATTAATTCAATGCCGAAGAAAACTTCGAGAGAATAAAGGTAGGGGACGTGATAATCATGTTTACAGCATAAACAGGACGAATATCTAAGAAATCTATCACTTGGTGACATAAAGTTTAGGGACGCGATAATCGTGTTTACAGCGCAAACTAACCAACAAAGGCAAAGCAGCCTTCGCTAAACAGGAAGAATATCTAATAAATCTATCACTTCCTGACATACAAGTAGGGATTGTGATAATCATGTTTACAACGTAAACTAACCAACCAATTAATTTCTATGCAAAATTGCCACTGCTATATGCCATGTTTCTTTTTTAGTGTCTTAGTTAGCTCTCCGTCAAATGAACTGTAGACAAGTCAATGACCAGGATCCATCCAATCGGGTATAAACAGGGAAAGAACAGTAAAAGGGGGGGGGTATTGGGTGGCAGTAAGGTACTGGAAAAGTGGGAAAGTGAATGGTTCCTGCGATGTTCCTCTGTATATCCGTTTTCCCCGCATTTCCTCGCAATTCTAACCAATTCCACCCCTCCTTCCCTTCCTCCGTACACAGCTGCTACACAGATTAATCTTAACGAAAAGGCAGAGTAGCCTTCGATAAACAGCAGGGGACGAATATCTAATAATCTTCCTGACATATTTTCAAATAATTTAAACATAATCATAAAACCTACATTTCTTAATTAGTAGAGAGGTTACTTCCTTTTTTTTTTAGAGACGCCACATGATATCACTTTTACAGAAACTTAAAAAAGAAAATTAGACCGGTGTTGTCAGTGTCACTTTGAAGAGTTTCAGTTTTTGCTTAGTGAGATGTTTCAGCTTTTTTCAGTTTACTTTCTCTAACAGTAGATACAAATAGCAACCAAGTGCAAGGGAAACCTTTAAGAAAGGAAAATGTAGACATTTAGCTTAAGAACCAAAACATGGCCACAGTCAGCTAATCATTTTTTTCTCAGTCTATCATTTAAGAAAGAATAACCATAGGAGAGGCTGAAATTTTTATCTTTTAAGTCGGCCGCTCATTCTAATGCATTGCTGTTTTTATTTTTGTATACCTAAGATTTTTTTTAAAATCAGCATATACTCGAATAAAAGGAAAATGTCGCGGTAGGTGAGGTTGAAGATCGAATCGTTGAATCGTTTTTGTTTTTCGACCGTTGCATAACTGTGTCTCGGTAGCAAATGTTAAACTTCAGCGTATCGTAATGGTAAGAAGTGGAAACTCTATAACATAACTTGGTTTGTAATTCAAGAAAAAGGATACCTGTTTCTGCTTAATTTCGCTGCTTCATCCAGTTTTCCTTTTCTTCGCTGAAAAAAGCGGATTAGTTTGCTTTAAGGGTGTAAATGTTAAATCGGCAAACACCAGCGACAATTACCTTCGAACATAAAACGTTCATGATGAGATACATTATGCAAATGAAATATTTCACAGCTTAAGTAATTCTAAAAACAATTGGATGGTTTCTTTTATCAGTGCCCTTCCCAAATGTCAACTGACCTGTCTAGATATTGGAGCCAAATGTCTTGCAGGAAAAACAAATGTCAAAACGAGATGACCCGACAAACTTTATTTCTGATTCGGTCGAATTATTTTCTGAGTGCCATTTTATATTAGGATCATGCACTTAAGAGATAAAATGGCTTTTTAATGAAATGTTCAAAGGTTGCGACAGGACTGCCAAGTCATTTTAGTTGTAATTAGAAGCCATTGTTTTCTTCTTTTGTTGCCGACGTACGTCCAATATTCAAGGAAATTACTGTT